CGCGACGTCTCGCCCCGCGAGCTAACGTTGGCCACCCGGCCCAAGCACTGCAGGATATCCGGCTGCGGGCCAGCGAGGTAATTCCCATGGCTTGGGCCCGCCGCGACTGGCAGGGCCAGCAGACCTCGGCGGCCGAGCGGTCGGGCATGAGATCTCCGCTGTCGGGGGCAGGCAGTGTAATAGCAGGCTCCTCTCTATCGTCTTGATCGTCGCGTTGGTCGCAACCATGTTCACGATCGTTTTCGGCGTCATCATCTTGCGGCAGTGCTGGTAGCGGAGCCCCTCCGTCTCCACGCGGCGGTGGATGATCTGGCGCAAGGGCCGTTCGTTGGCTCTGGAACTGAAGGTGCATGTCGGTCCGCGCGCGCCTCCGCGACCGCTGGCGCGCCCCTGGCAAGCGGGGGTTTGTCTGGGAGGGTCGCCTGCCGCGGCGGCACCAGCGCGAATGTCGATGTAAGTGCGAGCGCCCAAGGCGGCCGTGACATAAGGCAGGGCAGGGTTGACGTAGGTGCACATGGCTAGCAGCTCGTCCTCAGGGGCGACTCGCGATGCTTCGGGCGCCGACAGTTCAGTTCTGCGGCGTGGCCGTGTCGCGGCCAAACTGCATGCGCGCCGGCGCTGGGTAGTCTCGGCGAGGTCCTCGGACAGGTGCTCCGTCTTGCGGGACGTGCGTCCGATGGCCCTCGAAGGCCAAACCACCGAAGCGATGTGTTCGAGCTCTCGCCCAGTCGCGCTGCGGCACGTCTAAAGTGCGCAAGCGGGCCGATGGAAAATTGCCCTCTGCGGGGGTTCGTCACGCGGAGAACTCTTCGTCGAACTCGCTCGTCGGCACCCGCGCAGACGCGCTCGGCGCGGGCCGCATCTCGCGCGGCTGCGGTCTGAGCCATGGCTGACTGGGGGGCGCTGCAAGCCTCCATCCAGCGCCTCCAGGCGCTTAGCTGCACCATCCCGCAGTAGGCGACCTGGCACTCGTGGGCCGTCGGGCCCTCGAACCCAGTGCGAGGGAGGAGGATCCTCCCGTTTTGCCGAGCTCCCCCTTGGCCCAGGTGACGATCTTCGCGGTGGACTCGACGCGCTCAAGCCCCGCCGACCTGGCGCGTCGCCAAATCTGGCTCAAGATGCCCCCGTGTCTCTCGCACCCGCGCGTCGCGAGCGGCGTCGGGCCCAGCTCGACCCCGCGCCCCAGCCGAGGTCGACGCCGACCACCTCGGGGCAGCCCCCCCGCGATGTCTTGCACGCGTCAAAGGCCTCGGTGGCGGCCCTGGCTGAGTGGGCCCCCTTGGCTGGGCCAGGGGGCCAGGCAGGAAGCAACTTCACTGTCCCCCTCGCAGATGATGGCCGAGAAGAAGGAGCCAGCATTCGCGTCGCGCGCGCGGCGCGCGCCCAGCTGGATCGCTCAGGCGAAGGCTGAACTCCCGGGCAAACTGGTTGGGTGAGGGGCCCCCCCGCGTGCGTCGCAGGGGCAGTTCTCGATGTGCTGCGAGATCCCCTTCTTGACGCTATGTCGTCGCAGCGCCTTCGTGAACGCGGCGCCCGCGCAGTGGTGGAAGTTGATGTGTAACTGCGGCTTGGCCTTCCGAACTTCAGCAAGAACCTGCAACCGCATCTGGCGTCGCTGCTCCTCCTCCTGGATGAGAATGGGCGAGATCTCCGCCGCGTCCTTATGCGACTCTCCGTCTGGATCGGTCGGTCTCCGATGCGCCTCGGGGGCCTGGGCCGCCCCTGGCCAATGGGGCGAAGCTCAAAGGCCATGGCCGCACGGGTCCATGCGCTCCTTCCGGCGCGACCCCGGGCAGGGTGAATTCCCTGGACTCGATGCGTCGGCGGCTTCTTCTTCGTGAGACCGTCCAGCAGGGATCTGGCACGGCGCGCCCTGGGCGCGAGCTCGGCGCGCGGCCCTCGCAGGGCCTCGTAGATCGGGAACTCGTTCCCTCTCGGCACCGACGGGGACATGCGCGTCGGTCACGAGGGCTTCGTCGTCGTCGTTCGGCCGCGACCGCGTCCAGCTCGCGAGGCCACTTGGCATTCTGAGCGGATGGAAGACCTGCGCGATTGTGGCTCTTGTCCTGCTCGTGCTTGGGGCAGCCCTTGCAAGGTGCAGCGGCCGACGTAGACCGCGTCGATTATTCCGTCAAAGGTCACGCAGATACGCGCGAGCCCCATGTTGGGCAGGCCGCTCTCGCTGTAAAATGCGAACGAACTAACTGCCGACGAAGTCGGCTACATTGAGCGCCCCCTCGCCGGTCAGCTTGCAGACGCCGCCCACCTCTGGCTGGCCAAGGGCCCCAGAGCTCTGGGGGTGCACCATGACCGCGTGGTACCCCCTCCAAATTGGTTGACCTGGGCCACGATGGGTCGGCGGGCCTTCCGCTTTTCCCGTTGCTCGCGGCGAGATTGCGGCCGCCCCGGCGCGCGTTCAAGCGGCCCCAGTTACCGCGCGGCGAGCGCGGATGCGTGACCGCCGCGCAGTTTGGCTCCAGGTTCAGAACCTGCTGGCCGCGCATGCGCTGGCCTCGCCTCGCAGTGGCGTCCGAGCCCGCGTTCTGGTCGAGCGGCGCGCCGACGCTGACGCCGATTGGTCGACGTGAGCATCGCGGGCCCCGTCTGGCCAGCGAGCGTCTGATCTGCCGAGAAGAGGCAGCCTGGTGGCAGCCTGGCCCGGCAAGGGGCCCTGGAAACGGCGCCATGGATGACGTCGTCGGCCTTAGCGATGAGACCCTCTGCGCCGAGGCCTCGACCTTCTTGGCCTTCTTGTGGGCGAGCTCGCGGCGGCTTTCCCGCGCCTCGGCCTCGGCCGCGAGCGCGTCGGGCCCTTCGTCATCGTCGATGCCCCCGCTGGGCATGGTTGTCGCAGAGGTTGCTGGCGTTTCCTATCGTCTCGGTCACGACGGCGTGGAACTGCGCGGGCAGATCCTTCTAGATTTCCTCGCCGGCGGCAGCCCACTCGAAGGCGCCCCGTGGACGATCCCGAGGGGGCGTCGAGTAGGTCGACTGCTGCGTGGCCCTCCGAAGGGGGATGCAGCTTGAGGCCGTAGACTCCAGCGGCGCTGGAGTCGACGGCGTCGCCGTTGCCGCCCAGGTGACTGGGCTGGCCCCGCACCTCGCGAGCATGGCCCCGTTGTCCTCGCTGAAGGACGTCGGGTAGCCGCGGTTGGCGCAGCGGGCCGCGCACACCTCTGTAGACGCGATTTCCCACACGCAATCGCCGACAGCCGCTGGGAAGGCGACTGCCCTGCAGCTCTTCGCCCTCCCGCCAACTCCATCGAGGGCGCGCGCGGCCTGAATGGCGGTGGAATGGGGCCCGCGGCAGGCCGACTGGCGCTGGCGGCGTCGGCCCCAACGCGCAACGCCCATCGTCGTCGCGCACCCTGTGCCGAAGACGGCCCGCGCGCGCCCGTCCTCGTCGCCCTCCTCGTCGCCGTCATCGCGCGCGACCATAGAGATGTAGTCGGGCGAGTGGTTGATCTGGTACGCGGGGATTGTGAACGGACCAGCGTTGGCCCCAGTCCAACCGCTATCGCAATAATTGCGGCGTCGAGACTGCCGCGGGCAGCCCGCTGGGCGCGCAGAATAAGCGAGCATTGCGGTAGGGCCCGAGGGTCCTCGACGACCTAGCCCAGCACCCGCCCGTGGTGCCGATGCGCCTCGGGGCGGCCGTGGCGTCGGAGCACCCGGCTCCCTCGCGGGCCCCGAAACCGATGATCTCGTCGGGGCCGGGCATCGGACTCAGCTCGGAAACGCAGGTCGGGTAGACAGGCAGTTCCTTCGCGTTGCTGAGCGGGTAGCCGTAGAGAGACGCGAGATCCTCGGTCATGTCCTGCGGCGCTGGATTGCGCGGGACATAGGCTTCGCGGCGGGCCTGCGCGGCTCGCGCGCGGCAGGGGTGGGCTCGACAATCTTCCCCCGCGTCTGCTCATGGGCGTCCTGAACAAAGGCTGGCGCCGATCTTGGCGGGCCCCCGGGCCTGGTCTTTAGACCGATGCCGCTCGCAACTCTGACTGTTTCTGCTGCTGCCGCCCCAGGGCTGCCATCTTCGATCACCTTGCGGAGGCAAAGTGCTCACCCCTGACCTTCTTGCCCTAGGCCGACTGGCCTCCTGCGATCGGCGCAGGCGACGCGCGCGTCGCACCTGCAGGTGCCACTCGCACCCCTCGCCAGCGTGCTCTTGCCCTCCAGCGAGCTGTAGATGTGCTCGAGGGCTCGACCATCTCGCCCTTGATATTCTGAACGATGACCACCTCCTGGTCGCACTCCTGGCGCTCTTCCCGGTTGACGCCGTCGTCCTGCAGGGTGAAGGAGCGGCGCAGATCGCGCCACCGTGCCTATGACCGAACTCCCTGCAATCCGCGCACTTCGCGCCGCCGATCAGCGAAACCGCGGTTCGAACTCCCGCTTCTCGCTGGTCCTGGACGTGGCGAACCGAGGCCGCGGCTGAGAGCTGTCCCCCGCGATCCGCCGCGGGGGCTGCTCCCTCCCCAAACGCGGGCCTCACCGCTTCAACCGTGGACCACTGGCTTAAGCGCTTCGGCGATTTCCGCTCCACGTCGAAAATCTCTTTGCGACTCTGCATGACCAAGGCGAGCGCCTCGCACTCCTCTGGGGGCAAGTCGCTGACGCTGGCGTCGGCCATGTCGGCGTCGAGGTCGTTTTCTTCCTCCTCCTTCTCCTCGTAGATCGCGTTGTCGAACTCGCGGCCGTCCTCGTAGCGGGCCTGGTCGTCCAACCCGCTACCGTTGCAGTCGCCGTCGACGTCCCCCGTCGCGGAAACAAGGTCGAACCGATCTCGTCGATGCAGGCGTCGACCTTGTCGGCGGTGTATCGCTGGGTACTGAGCGCGTCGCGCGTACTCGATGTCTGCGATGGTCCACTGATTCACTTTGTACTTGTGTTGGCTCGTGCTGCGCTCTGCTTCTTCATGATGATGCCATAACGACAACACTATATATATATATATATATATATATATATAAGAGAGAGAGTGGCTTGGATATTTCAATTTGCGGTCGTATCTGATATGACCTGCTCCAGCTCTGCATACTCTCTGAAGCGGCGTGTCGCATAGTTGGCCATTGAATCGTTTTTGCTGCGCCAGACGGTACTGCCATAGAAAGACGTGTCGGATATCCCTGTCGACCGGACTGGCGCAACCATCCTTCTCCATTTGTCAACAGCAACTAGCCTCCGTCCCTGCGGTGTTGAATTTTCATACGTTGTCAAAAAATCTGCGCGCTTGAGCTTTCGTACCGCGTCATATGCTGGGCCGCGGAAGAATGAATGGAGATGTAGCGCACTGGCCCTCTGTTTGGGCTTACCCTCCCGGGCGTAGTACAAAAAAACAGAATCGCGCGTCGTATTCGGTGAACTGCTCCGGCTTGCCGTCGTGTTGTGGTATGCTGGCCTTGCCCAGCTCGATGGACACTTTCCTGACGGAGTGGAGGGCGAGGATTACGAAGAAAGCGTTCACAGAAGAAAAACAACAACCATACAAACATAAACTCTTGGCGCTCCGCGCGGATTGCTTGGATTCGCGCTGGACCCCCCTCCCTGGCGCGCGGAAAGCGCCAGGTGCGGCGCCGGAGGCACCGCAAGTGGGGGCCCAGGCACGGATCCAAGAAATCCGCGTGGAGCGCCCAAACGGTATGTTTGTGTGATTTTTCTTCTTCGAATGAAAACGTAAAGACGAGGTCGCATTCGAGGTGGTGGTTCTCGGCCATCGCGGCAGCGTCCACAAGGCGGGCGCGCGAGCTGCCCAGCCTCGCCCAAGTGACAGGTCGGGCATGAACCCCGGCAGGCGGATTTTGGACGCAAACTAAAACATAACCCACAAATGCTCAAAACTGTCAAACAATTGTCAACAAAAATCGTCCCAAAGCTATTGTTGTACTATTCTGAATATTCCTCCTGTGCGGGGACACGCCCGACTGAAGGGTAGTTGCTGGGGGCGGTGGCGCTCGGCGGAGCAGCCCAGTTGAGGCGCACGGCGGCGCCACACCTGTCGCTGGCGCCTGGTGCCGCGCAACGGCGCGGCGGCGCGCAGCGGCGTCCGGAATGCACAAGGGTATCCACTGTCGGGCGGCGGGAGAACTTGGTTTAATGGGACATGGTTTAGTGATGTGTACTGGGGAGCGCCCCCCCCCGCCCCATTCCACTGACCAGAACTGCCGTCATCGGAAAAAACACCAGCTACGGCAGACCTGGTTTAGTGACTCTGGCCAATTTAGGGGCTCCATGGCCCTACCACTAACCGAAACCCCTTTACCTGGGTCCTGGCTATACCCGACACTGATCGCCCCGCGAAGGGTCGTCGTCGTCGTGTTCCTCGTCGTCGTATTTGTCGTCGTCTCGATGGTCGTCGTCGTCGTTGTCGTCTCGATCGTCGTCGTCGTCTCAATCGTCGTCATCGTCGTTGTCGTCGCACACCCCCAATCCCGTCTGGTGGGGCCGCGGAACCCTGGGACCCATCCCGCCTGGTGGGGGGGACGGCGTGGCGCGGGGCCAAGGAACCCTGGAACAGTGGCATCCACTGATACAGCCTTAGGTCGGGCATGTCCCGTCCCCCTACAGGCCGATGTTCGACGAAACATTACATATATGTGTATATATATATATATATATACACATTTTAAAACAATCCGCCGACCCTGTGTCGGCGTGTGTGAGGGGTTGCTCGTCCTCGTCGTCGTCGTGGTCGTCGTCGTTGCAGTGCTCTAGCGGCCTTGAGGGAAATCGACCCACGTCGTAACCACGTCCAAGGGAAGCCCCTTCCCTTTGATCCATCCCCCGTCGGAGGGGGGGTGGTTCCGGGGAGGGTGGGTGGGGTGGGGGTGGGGGGGGTCAGGTACGACTCCGCCCCGGGGGCCTTCTCAAACTCAAAACTCCTCCTCATCCTCCTCCTCCTGTCCTCCTCCTCCTCCCCCTCCTGCTCCTCCTGCTCCTCCTCCTCCTCCTCCTCCTGTCCTCCTCCTTCTCCTCTTCCTCCTGCTGCTCCTCCTCCTCCTCCGCTTCCTCCTCCTCCTCCTCCTCCTCCTCCTGCTCCCCCACCCCCCCCTGCTCCCCTCCTCTTGCTCCTCCTCTACCTCCTCCTCCTCCTGCTCCTCCTCCTCCTCCTCCTCCTCACCCTCGTTTTCATATTCGTCGTCTTCAGGGTCGGCGGCACCGGCCGCAAGGCCTTCGCAATACTACACATTTTTATTTAAAAAGCGCCCCCAGACTGTAATATTCTAACAAAGTTGAACATATTCCTCCTGTAGAGGGACAGGCCCGACTTTATGATAGCACCCCCTGTTCCCTCAGCAGCCGCCGCGGTGCTCCGAACTCCCATCACCCCGCTTGCGCCCGACCCGCGCCTGGGCGAGAAGGCCAACACGTGCGTGGCCTGCCCGCGCACCTCCGACGCGAGGGCCAGCATCCTCTCGGCGGCGGGCACAGGGGCAACCTGCCTTGAATGAGAATTCTTAGACGAGCGCGTTCGGAAGTAAATTATTAGAGAATTCTTGGAGCATTATTAGGACGAATTCTTAGACGAGCACGAATTCTTAGACGAATTCCAATGGCAATTCAAACTTGCAAAGTAACTACTCGCAAATGGCCTGGATCCTCCGCGGAGGATCTACGATATACTACACACAGGCAGACGTGTTGTTTTCGGACGCTTGCGAGCAGGCACTTTGCGAGTAGGGGAGAACGTTCGGCGAATTCTTTGCCTTCAGTGAGCTCATTGCCGCCATCCCGCTGCAAGCATTCCAGCGGAAACATTTGGCTGAGGAGCGTTCCAGCGGGAGCGCGAAACGTTCGTTGCAAGGGAACGCTGACGCAACTCTCCCTCCATTCATCCACACGGGGGCCAGCCTGCTCTGAAGGTGTCGGGGCTTCTTGGAAGCCCTCAAGCCTTCTCAAAAGTCCCCTGAGGCTTCTCCGAGGGCACAGGCGGCCTCTCGGAGGGCGCAACCTCCAAGAGGGAACGCCGCCTCCCGAGAAGGCTAGCCCCCTCTCTCGGGGGGGGGCGGGAGGGTGGGATATCCGCCGACCCCTTGGGGTTCATCGGCGTGTGAAATGTTTCCCCTCCCCAAACCCCTCCCCCGGGAGCCCGGTCCGGTCCATTTGGAGGGGGGGGGGCGGTCCGGCCGGACGGCCCCGGACCCCCCGGAGGTCTCATCCGCTCCCGAAAATCGTGGAAAAACGCGCGAAAATCGTGCAGGGACGCGTCTGGTGGACTCGAAATTGGTTTGGGACGCCCCACGAGCGCTCCAAGACGTCCAAGTTGGCCCGAAGACGGGCCACGAGGCGTCCTCGACGGCAGAAGAGGTCCCCACGAGCCCCCCCGAGGGCCTCCGAGATGCGTTCCACAAGGGTCCCTAGACGCCAAAATTGGGCCATTCCCTTAGTGAAATGTGCATTTTTTGATAATTCAGCTTTGGATCTTTCCGATGCTCCCCGACGGCCCAAGAGGCTCCCAAACCCGCCCCCAGACGGCCCCAGAAGCCTCGCAGAGGGTCCCACACAGACCCCTAGAGGGCCCAAGATGGGCCAACTGGCGCCCAAGACGACCCAAGAGGGCTCCGAAAACGGCCCCAATAGCGTTCCAGGAGCGCTCCGAGTTGCCTCCGCGAAGCTCCACATGGTCCCAGACGGTCCAAGAGCGATCAGAAACATCGACGACGACCTCCCGACGGCTCACGAAGCCTCCCAAGACGCCCCCACAGGCATCCAAAATTTCCCCCAAGAGGCCCTCTAGACGCAAAAATTCGCTCGTTTCCTTCGTAAAACGTATATTGTTTCACACGTGTGCGTTTGGGGGTGTCCCCCGCTCCTGCACGGCCCCAGAGCCCCCCAAACCCGCTCCCAGACGGCCCAAGACGCCCCCAAGAGGGTTTCTACATGGGCCTCGAAGGCCCCAAGACGAGGCAACTCACGTCCAAGACGACCCAGAAAGGGCTCCGAAAACGGCTCCGAGAGCGCTCCAGGAGCGGTCCGAGTGGCCTCGACGAAAGGTCCACATGGTCCTCGACGGTCCAAGGGCGATCCAAAACGCTGACGACGGCCTCCAAACGGCTGAAGAGGCCCCCAAGACGCCCCAAGAGGCATCCACGATGCGCCCCAAGAGGGCCTCTAGACGCAAAAAAACCCTCGTTTCCTTCGTCAAACGTATTTTTGTTCACACGTGCGCCTTTTGGGGTGCCCCCCGCTCCTGGACGGCCCCAGAACCACCCAAACCCGCTCCCAGACGGTCCAAGACGCCTCCAAGAGGGTTCCCACAAAGCCTTCGAGGGCCCCCAGACGGGCCACCACACGTCCAAGACGGCCCAAAAGGGCTCCGAAAACGGCTCCGAGAACGCTCCAGGAGCGCTCCGAGTGGCCTCGACGAAAGGTCCACATGGTCCTCGACGGTCCAAGGGCGATCCAAAACGCTGACGACGGCCCCCAGGCGGCTGAAGAGGCCCCCAAGACGCCCCAAGAAGCTTCACGATGCGCCCCTAGACGGCCTCTAGCCGTATAAATCGCCCGTTCCCTTCGTAAAACGTATGTTTTTTTTTCGCGCGTGCGCCTTTTGGGGTGCCCCCTGCTCCTGGGCGGCCCGAGAGCCTCCCAAGACCGCACCAAGACGGTCCAAGAAGCCTCCACGAGGGCCCCGCGACAGGCCAAGAGGGCGCCCAGACGGGTCAAGAGAGGCCGAGGACGGCCCAAGACAGCCCCGAAGACGACGCGCGCGCGACTCGCGGTTAGATTCCTCGCAACTTGCGCTGCTTCCCGCCGCGCTCGTCGCCTGCCTCCGCGGGGCGTTTCGGCTGGTCTCTCCGCGGCGCCCGCCCCGCCTTATAGCGCTTGGCGCAAACCGCCGGAGAGCCTCGGTGGAAATAATTCTTCCTCTGGGCTATCGACAGATGGCCGCCGTCAGTGAACGTAGGCTTTGATCCGTCCTTCTTCAGGGGGCATGCGGGCCATGCCAACTGCTTCGCCACCTGCCTTTGCTCGTGGCACGCTCGGCACACCACCGAGCGATGCTCCGAGCCCATCGCGAAGAGGTGCTCCACCTGCTTATCTCTCAGATGCGCCCTCCATCTGCTTCTTTCGGGCGCGCGGAGCACGTGGGCGCTCGCGGCTGATTGCTTTATTCCTGGCATGCGCGGCACATGACTGGGCGATGGTCCGAACCCTTCGCGAAGAAATGCTTCGCTTGCTTATCTGTTCGGCGCGTCCTGTCCGCGAGTTCTCGCTCTTTCCCATGTGTTTCTTTCGGGCACGCGGAGCGCCTGAACGCCCGCGATCGCGCGCGATGCGCGTCGCAGTCGCGGCATTTCACTGGCCTATGGGCTGCGCCCGTTTTATAATAGTGGTTGATTTGTTATGTTGTCAGATGCGCCGCGCCCGTGAATTCCCGCTCCCTTCCGTCTGCGTCCTTTGGGCACTCCGAACACGTCAGCGGCTGTTCCTGGCGCGCGCTTTGTCGAGCAGCGTTCGTTGCATTCATCCAATCCGTTTTCTTCTGCGATTGGCTCCACTTGTTCCATCCGCCTCTCCGCTTCCCTGCGCATTTCTTGCAGAGCTTCTCCCCTGCGCCCTTCGTCGCGTACTGGTTCGCCGTAATTGCTGCCTCTGTCTCAAGGAATTCACAGCAGTCCGCGCAACGGATCTTGAATTTGTCTCGTACATTCTCCTGCCACTCGAGAGACTCTTTCCGCGACTTCCTCCGGGGCGGTGGGCCTGCGCACCTGTCGCATTCGCTTGCCCGCGCGAGCACTCTGCTCCTTTCGGGTTCGCCTTCCGCCACTCTGGAGACCATGTCGGCCCAGTGCTCACAAGTCGTGCACCCCCCCCCCCCTGCCCCCTTCAACATCTTCGCGCACTCGCAGCAGAAGCTCGGCCCCGACCTCGCGTTGAACTCTGTCGCGCTGAAGCCAGCTTTCTCCTTCACCTTGCGACGCTTCCCGCATGTCTCCCGCGGCATCATCCCCTCCTCGATGTCGGACCACGGCAGCGCTTCGCCCCGCAGCTTCTGTAACAACAACCTCGTGCCTTCCAATTATCCTTGCGTGTGCGGCTGTCTCGATAATGGCCGATATATGAGCAGACCCTGTCGAGTCTCCACGCGCGTTATGGCCACGTAGCTCGACATCCAACTCGCGTTTCTGCCTTCCTCCAGGTCCGCTATTACCGCGTCGAGTGTTCGCCCTTGCGCTGCGTGCACCGTGCACGCCAGCCCAGGCGAAATTATAAACTGTCTCCGTCGCACTCCCAGCACGGGCCTCTTTCGATGCGAGTCCAGATGCCACGTCCGAGCGCGAGGGACTAGGGGATGCAGACCGGGTCCCGGCATCCCTTTCAGCGTCCACTTCTCGGTGTGGAAGTCCAACGAGATTTGCCTCGGCATCTTACGCAGGACTCTCGACGACACGTCCTGCACGTCTTCTTCTTCTTCATCTACCACGCATGAATGTATCGTCGCGCGACACCCTCGTAGCAATTGCTTCTCTGATCTGTCCAAATGGTCCGTCAGTACAACTGGCATGCCCACGGCAAGCGGTAACCATCCTGGCATGTCTGCACAGGCCTTGCCGCGGTATCCGAGCCACCGCACTTTGTCTGCTGTGGTGTACGGCCTTTCCTGATACGTAGCGTGCGTGGCCTTATCCTGCGCACAAGCCCACGAAATCTGTCTCTTCTGGCACGCAGCCCAGTCGACGGCCCGCTGCCGCGCTACCTTGCACTTCACATCCTGATTCGGATATATGGCAGTGGCTTCGACGAGTTGTGGAAGTGCGAACCGTTCGTCTGCGGCACTGGTGGCTACGAGACATCGACGCTTTCTTTCCTCTGCACACTGTCCACACTCCAGCCCGTTGTCCTTTGCGATAGACGCCACGTTCTGCACGCAGGGTAGCGAACCACACATTGGCTGGTCATGCAACCAAGACCCTGGAACATCCGTAGGTTCCCCATGCAGAAACTGGTGCGTCCTTTCGGCCAGGGCTCCCCGTCGGAACTCATCTTGTACTGCCAAGAACCACTCGTCCTTCTCTTCCTAACGCTTGCACTCTACCATGTCCGTCATCCCCGCCACGGACCCCGGCCCCTCGCCCCAGAAGATGTACTGACCATGATATTCTTCGGCGCCTGGCGCATACTGCCTCGCCTTCCGTACCCACGACGTCAGAATCGCATTCAATGGAATTCCGCCGGGAGGTTCCAACTGGTAGAAATCTCCGCATAATAACACATGGACGCCTCCAAACGGACGGTCTACCTTGTCGGCGCCCACCTTGCCTTGCCTCGCTGCTGACATCACAGACCGCAGGTGCACATCCAGCTCTGCAAGAAAGCTTGCACTCACCATGCTGATTTCGTCGATGATGAGCCAACGCCACTGCTGAATTCGCTTCGCTGCCTCTACTTTCTGCGCACCTGGCTCTCC